ATAAACTAAACAACCTTTAAACAAACGTATGGCCCAACACAGAAGGGCAAACTCTTCAGGCCCTGTCTCAGCTGTCTACTCCCACCTAAAGGAAAAGGCACACTCCTTTGAAGACAGCAATGTCAAAATCTTGGACAGGGAGGACAGATGGTTTGAAAGGGGAGTCAAGGAAGCCATCTATGTAAAAGTGGAGAGGCCATCGCTAAACAGGGGAGGTGGTCTGCGACACCATCTATCCCCCATCTACAATGTCGCCCTTTCATCGGTACCCAGGAGGGTCAACAACATAACCTCAGACGACTCTCAACGATCGTCATCCACCAGGGGCTCACCTGATCCTAACGACTGTCGTTCACAGGGGACAACAACAGGGTCACCTGACCCCTAACGACGGTCGTCCACTTGAGACCACAACAATGGTCAGGTGAAACCAGTACTTTCACAGGTACTTTGGTGGACCCACCCACAAGAGGTTAAATACCTGGGTCCTTCTCCATTTTCTTGGTCAGACTAGTGCGGACTAGAGAGACCAATACATGATGAACTGATGAAGCCGCTTGGATAAGAGGCGAAACGTCTTCCACAGACAAATACAAGTCCAGTTGCCTTCGATTTAATTTGAGAGAGAGATTACTATGACCTGGACGAATGAGAACATTCACAGATACACCTTATTCTGTTTCAACCTGGCGCCCGATGAATGATGTTCAGGGAATGTGTTGCTGGACAGGCAATGTGAGGCTGGAAGTCCGCTTCAGAACACCATTGCCTTGCACAGTTAATCTGATATTTTATTTTGTTTTTTATTCATTTATTGAGATATCAAATAGGAGACAGGTACTACTGGACTACTGTTAAAAACTAATACAATATAATTAACTAGTATTATTGTAAAAATAATTATTAATGGTACAAATTTCTTGGGAGTGTATGCATGCGATCAGTTACCAAAATACACACATGCTTGGTGAGCATTGGTTGGCTATTTATATTACGAAACACAAACAAGGATATTTTTTTGACAGTTTTGGCAACCCACCTTACTGCGACAATTTCGCGTCAGAGATTAACGATTTCCTTGTGAAAAACTGTATGGATGTATTTTATTGTAGAAGATAGGTTCAGAGTAATAATGCTACAACCTGTGGTCAACACAGTGTTTTTCCTACGTCACATACAAAAAAGGATACCTTATACATAACTGATAAACATGTATGGAGCTAATCTAGCTTGTAGTGATGCAATGGTTTGTCGATTTGTTAACAAAAGATTACCTGGTGTATGCCACAGATATCATTTTACATCTGTACAATATGGAAAATAAAGTTAAACTGCTTGTAACAATGATAATTTTCTAATAAAACAAATGAGAACATGATCATTTATCAAGACTTTTCTTCTTTATTCATGTTTCACATAGTTTAAAAGCACATATAAAAATGAAAACAATAAAATTACACAGTTCTGTCATTAGTACATTTATGTAGCATAAAAAATACATTCATATGGCCCTACGTAATATTCAATGGCCCTGGTGTTAAATTTTAGGGGCAACTAGCTTTTCTCCAGATCCTCGAATCCTAAGGCTGCCAGTGTTTTTGACAGGCACATGGGTATGAAGCTAAACGAATCAATCCACCGCTGTCGCAATGCTTTGTCATACATGAGAATGACCCTTCTACCTCATCATCACCATGAGTGCGATTCCATTTTTGACAAAGTATTCCAACAGTATGTAATTATCAAAACCGGACGCGTTATGTGCAATGAATGTATATCCGCTGTATTTTGGCCGCTTGTAGTGTTTTATGAAGGCACTCACACATTTTAATGTGTTGAAACAAAACTTGTTTCCCTCCATGTCCATTGCACACACAAAAGTACCAGTACCTCAGTGTGTCACAGGGTATTACATTATGTTTGGTCTCTTTTCGTTTATGTTGGGTAAAACAGTGTTGTGATTTGCAAATGCACTTACAGTCGGGACATTTTATGCTTTTGCCCGGGTGGTTATGACACTCTGTAAAGCACACATTGCACCTATGCTTACAAATGTGGTAGAGCGGACTTTCATATGTTTTGTAGCAATACTGACAGACATACCAAGCCCCAAGAAAAAACCTGTCCGATTTTCAATCAAATAATAGTGGTCGTCATGTAGATATAGCCAAATTGTCTGTGTGTGGGGGATTTCGGTTGTTTGAAAACACTGCAGCCGTTTACGCTCAGCAGTGTGGTGGAATACTATAATTTTCACACCGAGGTGTTTCTCAAATTTGCCAACATTAGAGAGAGATACTTTGTACATGTGATCAAATCCCACAGCCCTGTGCAGTTGTTTAGCATATTCCAATTTTTTTTTTTTTAAAAGTATATTTTTTGGGCTTTTTATGCCTTTATTGGATAGTACAGTAGAGAGACAGGAAATGGGGAGGCAGAGAGAGGGGGAATGACATGCAGCAAAGGCCGTCCAATGCGGGACTCGAACCGGGGCCGACTGCAGCGAGGACTGTAGCCTCCACACATGGGGCGCCTGCTTAGACCACTACGCCACACAACACCCCCAGCATATTCTAATTTTTCAGAGTGGGCCATGGCAGCATCAGCAAAATGCACTAGGCAGAGAGAGAAACACATATTGTTGTCACCACTATTGTTAGGGTTGTACAGAAAGCGCACTTTCTTTGCTAAAATCTCATCATACCCCAATTTCAATTTCATGTACCGCTGCTTCTATTCTGTGCCACCATAACAATAAATTCCAATTCGTCGTCAGTCAAGGAGGTGTCATTGCTTTGTAAGACTTGTGAAATTTCTTCCATAAACAAGTCCGCATTATATTATTTATAATTTAAAATAGTCTGTATGTCGCTGGCCAGGGATGGACCTCTCAATACTACATTTAAAACACTATTGGGTGGTGAACCCTCTAGCGCACGATCAATAACACCAGACAGCCTTTGTCTGACTCTATCAGGTACTTCCTCCGGATCAGCGAGATCAATCTCTCTCAAATCAAGACGTTGCTGCAATTCGGAAATTTTAAAAGCAGGCATGCCCCTGACCTGTATCTGCCCTCTCTCTCTTACTTAGCTCTAAACATAGGCCATAAATAGCGCTTAAATCAGGCAACTCTTCTGAGTTTTTGAACTCTAGCTGATCATATAGGGTGTTTGATAAAGTATCACCCCCTGCCCAAGACACGTGGGCACTGTATGGGGAATACCACTGTTTGCCTGTGATTGTACAGTCTCATCAAGCAAATTCAGTGTATCCCCGAGCTGTAAGTGTGTCACTGGTGTACTGGCTCTATTATTCAACCAGACATCATTCTGAAAAAATGATCGGACGTTATCTAGTTGTTGTTGTTCAAACTCATTGAAATGGTCTGCAGACTGTGTCTCCAACTCCACATGCGCCCAAGTTGCCCTGTCCAGCTCCCTTTGAAGCGCTTCAACAGCTTGAGCTGTCTCGTCCGCCGCCTTGCCGGGGGATACAGTAGCCGATTCCTGCACTGGTACTAACTGCTGTAACACACTTCTCTCAGACCTATGAAAAGTTAGAAAAAATCCTACATCAATACAAAAAAAAGGCAGCAAAAACAATTCAACTAGACTTTTTAAAAATGTTATACATACCTTGTATCCCTTCTTGTTTTAGCAGCTTTCTGACACCTTTTCTGGTTTTCCAACCGGTGGGCTCTAATCCCTTTCAGAGAAAGCCGTCTTCTTCTTATTCTTGTAGGTTTGCTTGGTTGGAAATCTACTTCGAAAAAAAATTGGACACACAAACAGTTTAAGTATAACGATAAAGCAACATACGGTATTTCACTTTATCGGGGATAGATAGATGGATAGATTACTCCCCGTTTGAATGGTGCTTTAGAAGTTGCAAAAAAACCTCTCTGTGCAATTCTGATAGTAAAAAAAAAAGCATTAGGCCTACTTTTGGTTTACTTAGGGGAAACACTAGAAAAAATGACTAAATATTAAACACTAATCGTTGGGATCCATAGGATGGATATTTTCAATATCACAGTACTTGTTACGTGTCCAAATGACACCTAATAGATAATACTTTTAAAAAATGTGACACAAAAAAACAATTACTGCATCTGGATTAATAAAATAGAGTAAAGGCATAAATAGGATAGTTGGGATACTTACAGTTCAGGAGAGTCATTGATGCAAAGGTCAGAAAAAGTACCAAGGCAAAAAATTGTTGTGGTGTTTTTCTTTTTCATGGGGTAATGGCCCCGGACCCCCCAACAGAAAATTGGATGCTGTAATTGTATTCCTTTTGCTGATTTAATCTTTTGTGCTTAAATACAAAATTCTTTGGTTATTTACTATATGGTTGTGCTGGATCTGCACAGGCTGATCTCGTCATTTTCTCTAAAGGTAACAGTGTGCACCATGAACAATTAAATTTTTGTTCATGAAGTGAAGAACACTTGAGTCTTTTACTACTCTTCCTGGGGTCCACAGGAACAGTGCCATTAAATCCTAGCAATTAGGCAAAGGGACATAAGTCATTTTCGGAGTTGTAATACACTTGTGTAGCCAGTTGGTAGCAGCATGTGGAGCAACATTATCGAAAAAATCCATGCACAGCCTACTGCAGTGCTTCAGAGTGGACTACACTGTATTGTCATTAGTGATTTTAAAGTCATGTTATATTTAGCTCTGAAACAGCCGAGTATGTGCAGATACCCTGAGACTTGTAAAGTCCTCTCTGTGAGTATTACAAACTTGGTGCAGTGCCTTGAAACAAGTTTTTTACTGCACCTGGACTAATTGTCTAACCAGTACCTTAAGCAACATAACCACAGCCCCTGAACTGTTTTAACGCAGGGCTATTTATGTCTGAATTTTATTCATTTTACCTTTGGAATTCGACAAACCTGGACAAGCAAATCAGTGCAATTCAAAAGTACTGATCCCAAGATGATAGTTTTGTCTGAAAAATCAATACAAATTACATTTTTGTGTGTTGTTCAGGAAGTATTTTGGTGAGAAGATTGGTCTGTACTTCGCCTGGTTGGGCCTGTATACCCAGATGCTGATTCCTGCCTCTCTAGTGGGGGTCATTGTCTTTCTGTATGGATGTGCAACAGTCGATGACAATATACCAAGGTAAACACATGCACACTTACAAACACAAAGTTCAGCAAGGTCTGTCAGCTATTTTGATTTTACAACTTGATTATCAGCACATTAAATTGCCACAGCATATTGAACATTTCGTGCCTTGATGTGCAGGAACATCAGTCTCATTGGTTATTAAAGCATCACCAATCCCAGAGATCTGAGGTTCTGCAGAGAAATCTAACATGAAATGATTTGAAATCTCACTGGAAGCTTTATTAGCTCTCTGTCCCTGAAGTAAAGATGAGCTCTGTAATGTGTAAAGCTTTCCATATGGTATTGTTCAGTGAATGGAGTGACAAGAATTGCCTCTTTCTGAACACCTAAGACCAAGGAGTTGGTCATCGACTCCCGGAGGTCTAGACCCACCCTTCTGCAGCATGTCCAACATGAACACAAAGAGACTGGACAAGCTGATTAAAAAGGCTGGGTCTGTGCTTGGCAGGAGTGTGGACTCACTCAGGACTGTTGTGAAGAGACGCATGCAATGTAAGATAGAGGCCATCTTAGACAATACCAACCCTCCTATCCACAACATTCTGGCAGGATAGAGAAGCAGCTACAGAAGCTTCACTTCTCTTTCCCAAACCATTTTAGAAATGTCCAACTTCCATGTGTGGGGATATGAATATGGCCGCACTTTATTTTACAGTACACTAATAAGATGTAACAAGCTGTACTTTGTTTCAAATTAGATAAAACTATAAATATTATGTTCATATATGCACAGAGAAAAGTTGATGCTAAAAAAGAAAAGAATATCCCAGTGGAGACAAAGCTTCTTTTGGCACAGCATCACATTGGAGGTTGTTTTAGTTTCAAAACTGTTGAATAGATGACTGACAGTAAGCATCATGCTACCTATCATATCCAGAGCCATAAATGAGTTAGCGTTAGAATGCTTGCTGTTAGCTGAAATCTCAGAAGTCCGTGCAATCATCTTTGCTGTAAACTGTCCAGAGTAAAAATTATCTGACCTACATTAAGGTAGCACTGTCACACTACACAGTAGCCATTAACTGTATTCTAAAAACCATTTTATCATTCCGCTGATGCCTGACTTTTCTCTGTCTATCTCTGCTGGAGTGTAGGATTGTACATTACAGCTGTGCCCATAAACACACATGACAAATTTGTTAGGAGAAATATGCAATTAGATCTGTCAAGGTAACTAAGTTTGAAAAAGAAATGAATGACAAACATCTGTATAAAGCCAGTATATTGTTTCTCTACAAGTGGCATTCATTTTTAAACAATTTGAAATAAAAACTATTATTTTAGTCACATGTTGGAGCGTTTTGTAAATATGCAAAACACAAATTATTGCAAGTAAAGACATCTAATAGTATAATTCCCTAAAGGTCAGACTACTCTTTTAAGTAATTAAATGTTAGGACTCAATAATGGACAAAGTGATTAAATGAGAGTTGAATAATATCTATGTGGATGAAGAACAAGAAGAACAATTAGACAGAGGGGGAGACAAAGGAAAAGGTTTGATGAATGAGTTGAGAAACTGGGGCTTCCACTTCTTCCTGCTTCTCATCATCCACAGGATATTATGACACATGCTGCCGGCACATATTTGCAGCCAGTGCAGATACATGCCACACACACTTAGTACAAGTGTTAACGTGAGAGTGTCACCATGACACACAACCACACAGTAACAAAAAACAGACCTCCTGTCTGTCTGTTATAGAATAGTTCCATTGTGTGCACACAGTGTCAGGAAGTTCAAAATGAACATTTCAGGAGGAATAACAGCCAATGTAAATCATACAATATTTTCAGATCTGGGCAACACCAATTTAAGAGTTGTTATTACCAATATAATAAAACCCTGAGGTCATTTTCTTATGTTCTTTCTGAGTTATATCGTTGCCTTTATTATGATGCAGTGAGAGAGAGAAAGGTAAGTCAGGGTAGAGAGAGGGTATGACATGCAGCAAAGGGCCTGGGCTGGACTCGAACCCAGGGCCACTACAATATGGACTAAGCCTTGATGGTACATGCTGTACATGGTGAGTTTTGCTACTGAAGAGAAACCTAACTTGTGTGGCAATCATTCATTTTTTTCTATTTTGTTTCAAAATGAATTAATTTATTCTTACACTTAAGGAACATTTGAGCAAAAGTCGAGCAGAATCCAATCCATATATGTAATACATTATTGTGTGTGTGTGTGTGTGTGTGTGTGTGTGTGTGTGTGTGTGTGTGTGTGTGTGTGTCTGTCTGTTTTCCAGCATGGAGATCTGCCACCCAAAGAACAACATCACCATGTGTCCTCTGTGTGACAGAGTGTGCAGCTACTGGAAACTTAGTACAGCCTGTGGAACGGCTCGGGCCAGTCACCTGTTTGACAACCCTGCCACTGTTTTCTTCTCTATATTCATGGCTCTGTGGGGTGAGTGAAAACACATCAGCTCACTCTAAAACACAATCAGTGTCGTATTGTGATTGGTTGGTTGATTTTTAGCTGTATTCTGATTGGTTGATTTATAGTCATATTCTGATTGATTGATTTATAGCTGTATTCCAGTTAATTAATTTGTAGTTATTGGTAGATTTGTAGCTGTATTCTGATTTGAAAATTTGCAGGTGTATTCTGATTGGTATGGTGATTTGTAATTGTATTGTGATTGGTTAGTTGAATTTCAACTGTATTCTGATTGGTTGATTTGTGGCTTCATTCTGATTGGTTGATTTGCTGCCTTTTTCTAATTGGTTGATTTATATTAGTTTTCTGATGGGCTGATTTATAGCTGTATTCCAATTGCTTGATTTGTAGCCGTATTCTGATTGATTGTTTTGCAGCTTTATTCTGATTGGTTTACTTGTAGCCGTATAATTGTTTGATTCAGCACTCTACTTTGATTGGTTGATTTGTGACCTTATTCTAATTGGTTGATTTGTAGCCATATTCTGATTGGTCCTGATGACTTAATGCAATCTTTCTGACAGTTTGTTCAATTCATTTATCACTACCTATATCCCTTATTCCTTGTCTCACTTACCCCTACCTATTTCCCGATTCAAACAATGGTCAGTGTGTTACCAAGCGGCATCTTATTTTAGTTATTTACCTAACCAACTTACAGTATCTTCACCCATATTACCTAAACATGTACTTATAGAGTGCCAAAGGAAAGAGTCCTAAAACCCAGATATTAGTTCACATTTTACCACTTCCCGTTCCCTTTTCCCAAAGTCTATGCATTTTCTGAATGGGTTTTTGGTTAAATGGCTGGAATAAGGTCCGTGGTTAACACAAGCTCGAGACATTTTCACGTTTATTCTTTGACTGAAATACACCAGTAAAAACCCCAGTCCTGATTTCTTTAAGCCTTTAGGTCTCACAATTTCATATTCCAACATTCTGGAATGTCAAAGATTCTGTTCTAGAATCGGGTATAGTTCTAGAATGTTATGAGAAATGTGGCTTTCAAAGTTACAATTGCAGAATGTTAAGTTACACTCCCAGGCTGTTTGAACTGTAACATTCTTTAACTAGTAAGTATGAACTGTTACAACTCAAGAATTCTGGGTCAAAATGAAGCCCATTCAGTTCTATAGAAATTGTTCGCCTAGCGCATATGCATGGATATATTACAAGGTCTTATAATACAACCATGTCTGTACTGGTAGCACCAGCAAAGCTGGGCTGTGTCTATGGAGATGTTATGTAGCATGCCGTAAAACTGTCATAAAATGTGAAGAGTGAATGCAACTCACGTTCACGTTCACGTTCACGTTCACGTTCATCGTCAGTAAACTGATTTGCTCAGTTCAGCGTTCACTAAAAATATGAGTTCATGCACAACACTGGTGCTGGACACATTCCTCAGAGGTTTTGGTCCATCTTGACGTGATAGGATCACGCAGTTGCTGCAGATTTTCCGGCTGCACATCCATGATGCAAAACTCCCGTTCCACCATATCCCAAAGGTGCTCTATTGGATTGAGATCTGGTGACTGTGGAGGCTATTTGAGTACAATGAACTCATTGTCATGTTCAAGAAACCAGTTTGGGATGATTTTAGCTTTGTGAATGGTGCGTTATCCTGCTGGAAGTAGCCATCAGAAGATGGGTACACTGTGATCATAAAGGGATGGACATAGTCAACAACAATACTCAGGTAGGCCGTGGCATTTAAACAATGCTCAATTGGGGGCCAAGTTTGCTAAGAAAATATCCCCCACACCATTACACCACCACCACCAGCCTGAACCGTTGATACAAGGCAGGATGGATCTATGCTTTCATGTTGTTTACGCCAAATTCTGACCCTACCATCCAAATGTCACAGCAGAAATCGAGACTCATCAGACCAGGCAACGTTTTCCCAATCTTCTTTTGTCCAATTTTGGTGAGCCTGTGCGAATTGTGGCCTCAGTTTCCTGTTCTTAGCTGAAAGGGGTGGCACCTGGTGTGGTCTTCTGCTGCTGTAGCCCATCTGCTTCAAGGTTGCCTGTTCCCTGTCTATCAGCTAAAACAAGTCTGACCATTCTCGTCTGACCTCTGGCATCAGAAAGACATATTTGCCCAGAGAACTGCCACTTACTGGATATTTCCTCTTTTTCGGACCATTTTCTGTAAACCCTAGAGATGGTTGTGTGTGAAAATCCCCGTAGATCAGCAGTTTCTGAAATACTCAGACCAGTCCGTCTGGCACCAACAATGATGCCAGGTTCAAATTCACTTAAATCACCATTCTGATGCTCGGTTTGAACTTCAGCAGATCATCTTGACCATGTCTACATGCCTAAATGCATTGAGTTGCTGCCATGTGATTGGCCTATTACATATTTGTGTTAACGAGCAGTTGAACAGGTGTACCTAATAAAGTGGCCGGTGAGTGCAAGTGCATAGTTCTTAAATTTTATGTAAAATGTGGCTTTCAAAGTTAAAATTTGAGAATGTTAACTCCCAGACTGTTTGAACTGTAATATTCTATAACTAGTAACTAGTGACCTGTTACAATTCCAGAATGCTAAGTCACATTTGCAGATTCCAAAGTTCTAGAATGTCAGAGATTCAGTTTTAGAATGTGAGAGTATAGTTCTAGAATATTATGTAAAATGTGGCTTTCAAGAAAGTGCTTAAATGAGACTACAGAGGTTGTCAAGGACATTTAACGTCATTACATCGAACATGAAAACTGATCTGTGTGTTTATACTCAAGCTCTTACAAACTATCACTAACTTTGTAAGAGGAAAGGCTTTTGTAGAAGAGGTCAGAGCTAAATCAAACTACAAGTTGGAATTTTAGTGGGTGTCCTGCGATTGCTAATTGTTTTTTACAATTAGCGATTGTATTTAGGCTTCAAAAATCAATTATGCTCATGGAAAAAACATGTCACAGAGCTTATTTTTTGCAGTAATCCAAAAAAAGCCCATGTAAAAACCCATTGGCTTTTTTTCGAGGGAACCATAGTAAAGCTAACATCCAGGTTGGCCTACAAAAAGATGTAATCCCTGCGGAACTCTATTGTACCTATCACTATCAGTCTCCCCTATCCAATGCACCTGGCCACTGAAATGTCTATATTTATAGCTGAATCATACATGAATTTCAGTGTCTGAGTGTCTCTGTGTATTTGATGGATCTTTCTCTCTGGTTCAAAGCTGCCATGTTCATGGAGCATTGGAAGAGAAGGCAGATGAGACTGAACTATGAATGGGACCTGACGGGGTTCGAAGATGAGGAGGTAAGTGGTGCTAAAATCATCACTGAAAAAGGAAGATGTGAACTACACCTGCATGAAGAACCCCATCAGCTCTAGTAAACATGATTCAACATTTATGATTCCTATAAGCTTTCCTATAAGTATTTTTGACAATGGGGGCGAATTTTCATATTCTATTAATACATAACCATCAGTAATGTGGTCTTGATCTCTTGGCATGTATCTCCTTTCCATGATTTAGTAAGTCAGATTTTCAAGATAAATAAATACATTAACCAATAGATTTTTAGGAAACGTAGCCATAAACACTCCACCATAATACCTCTGGCCTGCTGTCACTGTTACAGCTGCTGGTGCCAGGACTGGCTTTCACAAACAAATCAAATAAATGTGCCTTATCTGGGAAACATGGTAAATACTTAAAATACTAACTCATTGTGCTGTATTTGCTGATTCATGGCTTGGAACTTGCAGCAAACCACACTCAAAATGTGTGTAGTTCTTACCAAACAACAGTTTTGAAAAAATATTTTGATGAAAGCACTCCATTGATCTAAAAAAAAAGTTAACTCATATTGTATTATTTTTTTAAAAAAATGCTATGAGCACAATCCAGCACGGTCTAACCCTTAATGTTTTATGGGTTTGTGCTTTGTGTTTTTTTTTTGTTTGGCGGTGTGACAAATTTTTGAGTTATCATTTTTTAAATGTACACACACATTATTATATACTAAATGGGCAACCTCATACTACTGGGAACGAGGTGACCTCACCACAACAAAGTCTGCAAGGTCAAGAAAAAGAAAGGTTTGGAAATAAGTTAACTTTTCAAGATCACCTAAATCACTTTATTATGCAGGGATTGTTAGCAAAATTTCACTTTATCCTCAAAATAGTTATTACACAGAAAAACTATATTAAGGACAGTGCAGTGGCAGAAACTTCAAAAGTGTCATACATTTCCAGTGTGGTGAGTTTAGTTGCAGTAAGAACAGCAGAACAGTCTCCTCTGACCAGTATTCTCTCTGGACTCACTGTTCTCTTTTCTGCCACACAGTGTCGCAAAGTGGCGCTTTCTCATCACTTTTTGATGTTGATGCAGAGAGGAGGCCCACAGGCACTTGTGAATTGTCTAATTATTTTTCATATCACAGGGGCTACATTAACATAGTACCTCACAGAAATATTAAACAGGATGTATGAGGACAACTTTCCAATGGCAACTCATTTTAAACGTGATTTACTGTAGCCTATCACACAGCTGCAGTCATAAACATATCTTTATGTTGACTCACATGATTTCATGATTTCAGAGTCATAAATAAGGTAGATTTTGTAAGCAACCAGATTTCTGCTGAAACCAAATACATTTCTCTGGATTTCTTATTTGCTCCCATGTCTTACACCCAAAATAGAAAAATATTAATGAGAACTATATTGTCAACATTTAAACACAGTAGAGGTGGCCACAAAGAGGACTGAACAACACAGAGAGATACTGCTTACATAAAAGAAATGCCACCAAAGATGTTTGAGAGTAAGTTTTATTAGGGAGTAACCATGGTTATAAAAAGTTAAATCAGTTAAAGTTTCCACCAGAGAGGGAAGTGGGGAAGTTGGTGGCGACACTACCTGCTGCCTTTATACCCTACCTTAAAGAAGGGTACTTAATTCAAACTCAACAGAAAGTTAATCACATAATCATATAATAATAATTACACACAGTAGTTCTGATGTATGTATTAAGACAAAGTCAGTGACATAGGAAATTCCTAACTGAGAAATGATTTGAAGACAACTGTCGCACATTCAACAGTGAATTTCAGGAGATGTAAAAAGGAAGTGGGTCTGTTTACAATGGACTGTCTGGGGAATAATTAATTTTTCTGATGGCCAAACTGTTCGTCTTTCTAGTGTGGGTGCAGAAAAAATATATTCTCTTTAAAGGAGCTACTTGTAAGTTTTGCTAATGCTTCATAGCTAATGTTAGCATTAACAGCTGTTTACTTACCAGTCTAGAAGATGTTCAGCATCAAACTTCATTCCTTTACTTGCTAAGAGCTTTCTCTGGAGGTGGAAAGCTTCAATTTCTATCACGTCACTTCTTCTGCTGAAGTTAGCATGCTAGCAAGCTAGCCCTGGCCAGGTTGGCCCATCTCATCACTTTACGATACTTAATCACTGTAGCATTCGGTCTGCCCTGAAGAAGTAGCTGCTCAGAGGATGTATTATGACCTCTGGTACTGTAAAATACAATGATGGCTGAAGCTCTTGCCAACACTGGTAAGTAAACAGCTGTCAATGCTAATGCTGGCTAAGTAGCAACAGCAAAACATACAAATTGCTCCTTTAATGTAAAATGTTAGTATGAATATGTGATCAAACTCATCCAGTTGCACCTGAATTAGTATAAAATAAAATAAAAGTATTTTCCAAGTTTTCAGTTCCTCTTCAACACAGTATAACATGGGAAAATAATCTGATTTAAGGTCATCCTGGTTGTTTTTACTAACACTTTTACCCCCACCCCATCCTTCTTTTCTGTCTCTGGGTCTATTTTTCACAGGAAGCTCTCAAGGTTTGGATCAATTCTCATTCTTTTGTAGCCTTTCTGCTGCTGCTGCCAATCTATGGAGAAATAAAAAATCACCTAGAAGGAAACATGAATGCTTTTAGTCCTATTTAGACTGGGGTAGTGGTGCACTTCAGCCTCTTGTGGGTGAAAAAAGATTTTTTTTTTTTTTAGTTATTTTTTTTTCCATCTGTGAAAACCCCTAAGAGGCAAGTGAAAAAGATATTATTATATTTTCATTTGTATGTACTACAACTGTCTCTGTGGGCTTCTGTAGTGCACACATATACAGACACAATCTCTTTTCCCATAGTCATGAACCATAATGGACAGATACATGCTTTGAACATGTTTGTAAATATTATTCCTCATATCATATTTTTTGTGCTTCATGATAAAATCAAAAATAAATAAAAACTAATAACTTAGAGAGATGGAGCACATAAAGGAAAACACCTCAATCAGCCAAGTAAATGCATAAAACATGAAGAAAGTGCACCTTAAATGAAACTATTTAAGGTGCACTTGTTGAAAAATGATTTGCAGAATATGCACACATAAACCATGCATACACAATTTCTCAACCTATAAACACAAAAAACGTCTGGGGAATTTGCTATTGCTACTGTTGACAATCATATAGATATCAAAAAGCTAGTTCAAACTGAGATACAAGTTGTTAGCTCAGTGAACCCCAGATCACACTCCAGGTGTAAGACATCATACAACAAAGGGCTTCATGTTTGCTTCATATCACTATCACACTACTGCTTCTCAAGCAGTCACACTGATGGCACCTGGGATGGATGCAAGAAAACCGATTACTACAACAACAAATAGTATCACTTTGTCGTAGAGTTGTATGCAATGGACACATTTTGTTGCTTTTTTCAAGTGAAAAGAAATAAATACAAACCCTGCAGAGGGTGGAAATATTATTAGGACCCTATTAGAATTGTAATGTTTATAATTAGGGCCTGAGCACCAACCACCAACCACTACGAGAACCCTATTGAAACGTTGCTTTTTATTATTCTTTTTCTGCTTAGTGCAAATGGATTACCTTTATCGAGGCTTATCTGTGCTCAAAAACTCGTGAAACTTTGCACATGTATCAGATCTGGTGAAAATTTACGTATTAAATTTAGAGAGACCCTTCCTATCCCTGTGGTTTGACCTACATGCACGAAAATTGGTAGGCACATGAAACATGCCAAGATATACAAAATAGCCTCTTGCACCCATATCCAAAACCCAACAGGAAGTTTGCCATTTTGAATTTAATTTGAAATTTTGGCACAGTTTTTTGTGATTTAAGGGTCAGGTACGTTAACGAACTCCTCCTACAGAATTAATCAGATCGAAATCATATTTGGTCAGTCTCATCTCAAGACCATTGCAATGTTAAATTGCAAAGCTTTTGAGTTTTCAATGCATTATGCTTCGCCATCAAACAGGAATGTGTTAGGACTATATTATGTATACATTGCTCAATTTGCCCCAAACATCACATGTTTGATGACTTCCCCACACTGAAGACATCTGCACGGTAATATGAAGTCAAAGTTATGGCGTCACCTTCTGGATAGAGGAAATAATCATCAATCAAATGACAATCATCATTTGATGTACATGAGATTTTCATGGTCTCGTCTGCACTTCATATACAGCAAGATAATGCATGTTTGGTGCATCTTGCATGCAATACACTGTGTCCTCTGCCACAGAGTCCATGTGGGAAATCTTGCTCATGAGTGTAGTGTTACTTGGTTATGACAATCCAGGGTGGCTTTAACCGGCTTTCTGCCAGCCCCCGTGGTGTACGAGAGCCCGCTCAAAGTTGCTTTCAGCTTAAACATCAGCCTAAACAGCCTAAACATGCTCAAAAAGTCATCAAATGCATCAGGCCTGGTGGAAATCTACGCATTTTATGGGTTTTTCCCATGGGTATGGCAAAATCACTTGCTAGCAAAACCTAGAAATTTTTAACAAGGCACTACTCGCACTGCGTTTCACCTACATGTATGAAAATGGGTAGGCATATGGAACATGCCGAGACCTACCAAAAAGTCTACAGGTACCCCTACCCTAAAGATGGCCTCTATCTTGCATGCGTCTCTCCACAACAGTCCTGAGTGAGTCCAGACTCGTGTCAAGCGCAGACCCAGCCTTTTTAACCAGCCTGTCCAGTTTCCACTGGCCACCACTGACTGATATCTGCAGTGAAATGCTACACATTTTTATCAAAGGACCTGAGCCTCCTGAGGAAAAAGGGACAGCTTTTCCCCTTCCTGTAGATGTCCAAGGACCAGTCCAGTTTACTGTCCAGGTGCACACCTACTAGGTATTTATAAGTGTACACCACCTCAATGTCCTTCCCCTGAATGTTGACTGGCTGAAGGGTGGGCCTAGACCTCCAAAAATTGATTACCATGTCCTTGGTCTTAGAGATGTTCAGAAGGGGAGGCAGTTTTTTCGTTCCATTCAGTGAAGGCCACCGTCAGATCCCTGTACTCCTCTTCCTGCCCGTTCCTGATACACGCCACATAGCTGTGTCATTCAAGTATTTCTGTATGTGGCAAGACTAAGAGTTGTATTTAAAGTCTGCCGTATACAGGGTGAACAGGAACGGAGCCAGAACAGTCCCATGTGGAGCCCAAATGGTGCTCATCACTGTCCCTGAGACACAGTTACCCAGCCTGATATACTGTGGTCGTCTTGTTAGGTAATCCACAATCCAGGATGTGAATACTTTATAAGCATGAAAATGTAAACACTTTGAACAACATTGCTCATTTGTGACAACACATAGCGAACAATAATCACAGTTATCTAGCAACAAGATTTCGATTACTTCTCAAACTTCTTACAAAACTTTCCCAGTCATAACAGTCCGCCAGCAATTACTGTCCCCCGGCAACTAAGACCAATAATATTGACAGATTGTTGCTCACTTCCAATGTGGCCTAACTTCTGTTGTGGCACAATTTGAATTTATGTTGTGACTTTTGTATTTATGTTGTGACTTGTATTTGTGTTGTGACATTTGAATTGGTGTTGTGGCTTGGTGGTATTGTGTTGACCCTTCTGGGTGAACAGGGTGAATAGGAACGGAGCCAGAACAGTCCCTTGTGGAGCCCAAGTGCTGCTCATCACTGTCCCTGAGACACAGCCTGATGTAATGTGGTCGTCTTTGCAGGTAATCCACAATCCAGGATGTGAAGCAGGGATCCACCCCCATCCCCTCCAGCTTCTCTTTATAAATGGGGGGTTGGATGGTGTTAAATGCACTTGAGGAATCAGAGAACATAATCCTCATGTAACTATGTGGTTCATCCAAATAAGAATGGGTCCAGTGGAGCATGTAAAGGATGGCATCATCCACTCCAATATGTTCTTTGTAGGCGAACTGTAGAGGGTCAAGTGCATGTTCAACCTGTGGCTTCAGAAGGTGGAGAAGCAGCCGCTCCAGGGTCTTCATGATGTGAGGGCCACCGTTCTGTAGTCATTTATCTCAGCCGGTCGTCCTACCTTAGGGACTGGAACAAGACATGATGTTTCCCACAGCACTGGGAACTTCCCTGTTTGTAGAGTTAAGTTAAAGATCCTTTGGAGAGGCTCAGCCAGCTGGGCTGCACAGTCCTTTAACAGCCTCGGACACACACCATCTGGGCCTGTTGCCTTTCCAGGACGTGGGCTCTTGAGCTCCGCCCTCACCTCCTCCATTGTAAAAGACAGGAGACTTGACCCCAGTGTGGAGGGAGTTGCAGCTGCAGTGTCAGGTTGTTAAGGAGATGCCGTAGGAGAAGTTGCAGCTGAAGCAGTGGGAGAGAGAAGAGGTGAGGCTGTGTCAAACCTGTTGTAGAACAGGTTGAACTCATTGGCCTTGTGCACATCACCTGATGTTGCCTGGCTGTTCTTCTCTTTATAGCCAGTGATGGTCCTCATCCCCTTCCACATATCTCTGGTGTTGTTGTGCTGCACCCCTATACTTTCTTTTTGTAGTCCTCCTTCGCCTGTTTTAATCTCCTCTTCAGCTCATGTTGAACACACCTGAGCTTGTCCCTGTCTCCATCCCTGAAGGCCTCCTTTTTCTGGTTGAGGATGGTCTTGATGTTACTGGTGATCCAGGGTAATCTGGTGATCTGCATAATGTCTCATGCCCGTTTGCTGTTTTTACTTCTTTTCACTTAAAAATAAACAGAATATATCATTTTCCATAGAAGCCGTTGACAAAACCTTTGTATACAGCTGTATATTTCTGTCCAATATAACTACACACAAACTACAGGCTCAAAAATAACCATTGACATGTGTGGAATGAACAAATACTCTGAAACAGTACAAAGCAGTAATAAGAGAAACATGTTTTTACTTATTAATGTCAGAGGGTAGGAATTAGGGTGTTTTATTACATCCCACTCCCAGGTTCCATAAACTGCAGCTATTGTAACTGCCATCAGTCTGTGTAATATGATAATCTGCCCACTCTGGTGCTTTATTTCCTGACCTTTCACCAACTCTGTTCACTTCACTCAGCTTTGCTCCCTTAATTTCTGACACGTTTCTTTTAAAAATCTGTTTGATTAAAACCTGCAGCTGTTCAGGTGGTGAGTATGGCCAGACTCTACTGTGCTTATTAATGTCTCTACTTGTGTCTACCTGTTCTGCATCCCTGAAGCAGACAGGTGGGTGTGTGGGGTGTGTGGGAAGGTGAGTTCTCTCCGCATCTTTTGGCTCAGAACAATCAGGCTCTGATGGTTCCAGCCATTTCTCCACAGTCCTGAGCTTCATTTTGTATTTTCAGCTGCTCCTCAATGTGTCTCACCTGATTCTGCAGGTGATCTCCAGTCTTTACCAATGATGGTCATCTGCCTCTCAGTTTGACGTCTTCCTCCCTTTCACTCAGACACAGTTTGACACACACTTCATTTCAGAATTCAAAGTGTTGGATCTGTTGAGCCTAGTCAGTCTGAAAGTGAAGATCCTGTTGGAGGGTAAAGATC